ATTTTAATTGTCCCTCAAATACATAAATAATTAATCCCAACTGTCAGTGTAAAATTATAGATCTCACCATAAGTTCTGATTTTTAGGTAGTGAAGAGAAGGTAAAGATGATATCAAGGGAATCCACCAACTAGATGCGCATTCAGAGAAGAATTCATGGGAAAATAAAAAAAAAAAAAAAAAATCCAACCCCCAAAACAAGACCCCAAACAACAAAAACCATGGCAAGGCTTTTCAACCTGCACGGATATGTTAAAGAGTATAAAACTAAAACCCTCGGCCCTCACAACAATTTCAGAGTTCTCATGCCAGTGGATATAAGGGACTCCAAGAATTACGAAGGAGCAAAAAAAAAAAAAAAAAAATCCAACCCCCAAAACAAGACCCCAAACAACAAAAACCATGGCAAGGCTTTTCAACCTGCACGGATATGTTAAAGAGTATAAAACTAAAACCCTCGGCCCTCACAACAATTTCAGAGTTCTCATGCCAGTGGATATAAGGGACTCCAAGAATTACGAAGGAGCAACGTAAATTTCCAACAATTCATGAAAATTGTGAGAATTATTAAATAATTTGAAGATGACTGATTATTACCGGTTCGGTGGCATCAGGAAGCATTTTCTTGAGCTGCGACATAACGAAGCGAACAGCTTCTTCATCAGATAACCTCTCGATGTCATAAGCGAAACTTCCAGCAGCCATGTAGACAAGAACAGGGTTTCCCGTTGCCTTGTGAAGATTGAGAAAATAACCACAGGCATAAGAGTTGGGAGCAACTACTCCTAGTACTTCAACGTTAGGCCAAAAGACTTTGTTGAAATGAAGAGCTATTTTGTTCTCGTTTCCAACGCCCAAATCAGAAATGGCTGAGAGTTTCCAATCAGGAAGCTTAGGTTCAAATTCGATTAGATTTGCTTTTAGAACTCCAAGAGGAACAGTTATGATAGCAGCATCTGCAACGAAGGTAGTCCCGTTCTCAACGGTGATGACTACTCTATTAGGGCGCTGAATAATTCTTTTGACCCTGTAAACATTTGAATAAATTAGAAAGTTGTGATTAATACCTCAAAATTGTTTCCGGACCTCATTCTGTGATGGGAAGAATGATACAATAGTACCACAGAATAGAAGCTAATGATTTTTGAGGCACAAAAACAATAATTAATACTAGGTGGGATTTTACTAAATACTAAAGAAAAATACTATTTTCACTAGTGAAAAATAAAAAAAAGTAAAAGTGTGCCATCATTAAACTATGTTTTGTCAATAAGGGTAGAATCAGACACAGCTCTTACGTTGATATCATTCAATCATCCAAAAGAATAATCATATTCTATGTCTAGATATCAACCTAACATCTCCTGGTTTAAACTTGATATGAACTTGAACACTGAGAATTGCAGGCAAAAGTAAATGTTGCCAAACACTGCTAGCTAGGAGTCAACAAAAGACTAGGGTGAATTACTTAGCACTAATCTAACCAATGAAAAAGGAAGCTAAAGAATATTGAAAAAGGTCTCAGTGGTATCCTTATAAAATTCCTTTGTTAGAAAATTTACGCGTTCAGCAACCCAACAGCTTGGAGGTTTTATAATAAAAATTCAAATCACATGTAGTGAAAATGCAAAACAAGAGCATCAACCCAGTTAAATTTGGTAATGTGTTCTAATCTAATTGTAAGCATACCTGCGATTCAAATTTACATATAATGATAATGAATATACATACAACAAGAGCATCAACCAAGTTAAATTTGGTAATGTGTTTTAATGTAATGGAGAGCATACCTATGATTCAAACGGATATCAAGGTCCTTTGCAAGAGCTTTAATTACAGGATAGTAACCCTGCACCATAAGTCCATGACCCCCAGTTAAAACATGTTCCTGCATACACAAGATAGCATCCATAAGATGGGGTTAGAAATTGTTACTACATCTAAGTATGGCTTTCTCACTCAACATCAAGAAACGGGAGCATCAGAAAAGCATAAAGACCATTCCAGATGTAATTCCTCACGTAAAGATGTTGATTTATAAAATCATATGGAACAAATATCAATCTGGGTTTGATGCTGTGAGATAATGACAAGCCAAATGTATGCAGTAGAGCGCACACACTATGGCTAATGTGTAGAGGCAATATTGTTGTCATTCTTATCCAACATTTGAATAAAGGAAGATGAAATAAAAGAAAACAAGTTGAGGAGGAGAGCTACAAGTCACTAAAAGGTGCAAAACTGACAAAGAATTGAACATGATGGACATCCACATTCAACACGGTGACCTGACTGTCAATGCACCAAGTTCAATCATCAAACCATGGGCAAGAAAAAAAAATACAGTTATTTTCTTACATGAAATCTCTAGAATAATTGATCTGGTAAAAAAAGGTTTTGCACATATCTCTCATGATTGAATAAAAAAATCATTTGAACTGATGATGGAGGAAATAAAAGAAAACAAAGTGAAGAGGAGGGCTGCAAGTCACTAAAAGGTGCAAAACTAACAAAACATTGAACATGATGGACATCCATATTAAACACAGTGACCCCGGCTGCTGACGCACCAAGTTCAATTATCAAACCATGGGCAAGAAAAAAACAAAGCTATTTTCTTACCGTGAAATCTCTAGACTCATTCATATCTGATAAAAAGGTTCTGCACATATCTCTCATGAGTCATGATTGAATAAAAAATTTATTTGAGCTGATGACAGAGTCTCAAGCACACGGATTAAAACTTAAACAACTATCACATTTAATAGGAACAAGAAGGGGTATACTTACACCATGAATAACATTACACAGAGTTCAAAAGAAAAACAATTAAAAATAAATAAAACTAGTATGTTACCTGATCCCAATTCTGTAGCGATATTTTATCCACATCTGCAGCAAACCACGCTTCCATTCTACAGATATACCATTGCAATACTTCGTTTGCCAGACCCTCTTGCCTACAAAATGAAGCATATCAAATTAGATAAGGGTAGAATTATTAAATAATAAATGCACTAAAATGTATCTCCAATTCATAGTTTCATACCTCAACTGTGGGTTTCTATCCAAAACAATGGCAATGGCTTCAAGAATAGACATGTCAGCAGTATGTTCCTCCCTTACTTTCGTTGTCTGCAATAGAGAAACCAAGGGAACTTCCATCAAAAATCAAATGAATAGCTAGAAACATTTATATCAAACAATTATTGCACTAAGGGAATATATATAAAATACCTCTTTGAGAATCCTCTCAAACAACTCTCCAACTTCAATGACTAACTGCTGAGGAACTTGTTGTCCATCCTTGTCAAAAAGTGCATAGCTGCATAAACCACATATAAAAGCTTTAATATTAGATAAACAATGACAATTATGCAACCTGTATGACAAAGAAATGAAGTTATGATCAAGGAGATGAACAAAAGGCTAGCACTCAAGGAATTTATGCATATATAAATGTAATATAATCAACAAAGTGAATGTATATGCACAAGCTAGCTCTCAAGAAATGTTAAATGATCAAAATTAAAACCCAAGTCTTAAATCCAATAATACAATTTTCAAAATGGAAAATAAGTCTAACAAAGAAAAACATACCTTTCAAGGTCATGGTCATATAAAACAGAATTATCTCCACTTGTGCGGTACAATTTTAAGCCAAGAACTCGAATCAGAGGAGCCAGGGAATTCTCATTGCAAACACCATGAAGCCTAAAAGGCAAAGACAAGTTAAACCATTCTCATACATACATATGTAAACATTTTGCCAAGAGTGCCAGTGGTAACAGAAATAAAATTGAACATACCATGATGCTCCCATGTCGACAGGGCAGCCAAAAGAATAATCAGTATCGACACGCCCTCCAATTCTACTCCGTGATTCTAACAACGTAACCTGAAGAAATATGAAAGGTAATTTTAGCTGATACAGATAAAATTTTACAGTGTGCTCAAAAGCGCAAAAGAATCACCAAAAAGTGATTGCAAGGGGTATATGCATCATCCATTAAGCAATTACATGGGAAGATATTATCATGATAAAGAAAGGCTTACCCTAAAAGAAGCATTAGAAAGCGCCCGAGCAGCTGCAATCCCAGAAATTCCTCCACCAATCACAATTACAGAAGGTGGAGAAGCTTGTTGTCTCTCAAAGTGAGAGAGCTCAATATGAGAGAGAAAAGAACCTAAATTGGGGGACGTAGAGATCAGCAGAAATTTCTGAAAGAAAGAGATAGATATCATCTATAAACAAATAAAAAGTTGCACCACAACTAATTCAAGTGATGAACGAGAAACATAAATAATGATTTGGAAAACACATACAAACTAATTTTTTCACAATACAAATCTGTTCACCTATATGTATGTCACCTAACAACTTTTCAATGTTTCCCAAAGAGAAACAATGGAGTCCCTAATTTTAATCCTATCTGCACACTTCCGAAGCAAGTCTACAACAATGACCAACCATTACCTCATCATAAGCATCATCCTATATATATGTGTAAATTATGTTGTATCACATACTATCTTAAAGAGAATTTTTTTCAACGGAAACCATTTTAATATCTAAGTGTTGAGACTTCATTAGACTGATGTGAGTCAATCATAAAACTCTCTTAATACAATTTCTCAATCTTTATCAGATTGATTTGCATTCCAAGGATACTTTTCAATGGGAAAATCCAGTACACTGATAAATGACATAACTTCTTTAAAGTTTTTTTTATTACAAAAGAATGAGATAGAACTTGATAAATAAAAAAGGAAATTATATGATTGCATCCATTATATAGGACTCGGCAAGGGCATTCCTCTTGGAAAACTATCTTTTGAGGAAAAGAATCAAATGAACAACATTGTGCCTTGTTCGGTGGAAAAGAGATGATGGTCCACCTTGAAGATGCATAATGATTCTGATTGCAACTACTAAAACTAAGAGATTGTCAAAAGTATTTAACCAAGAGCAGTTCTCAGATCTTAGCTTAACACAGCCGCAAAAACAACACCGAAGCCATTATTCCAAGTTTTTAGTATTGGCTGCATGTATATTTGCCCACCAATCCACTTGGTAAGGTCCATATCCTCCATAAACTAAGTAGTATCACATCCTTCATCCCATAGAGATAAATGGATCTTATCTCATACATTTTGAAAGGCATCCTCTTGTTGCTAAGTAGATCGCAATGAATTTTCCTTCGGCCACACCACATATAATTAATTCTATATGAAATGATTTAATGGAAACTTACGTCATGTTTGATGGATGATGAGCTGGACTAATTAATGAATGAAACAACAAGCGTTACCTAAAAACACCTAAATTATTGGCTAAAAAATATCTGGGTTAAAGACGAGTAATCATATAAAATACGACCTACAATCTTTAAAGAACTAATCCCTAATCAGTGCCACTGACTAATGACGAAGAACATAATAAGATAAACAGATCAGACAGCACTACCCTAAAATTAGGGCTAAAGGAGCAATCTTTCTTGGCTCAATATTAAATTCATCACAAAAAGTTGTTTTTTTCTTATCTATATAGCCCCAAGACAACCATATTTGCAAATTTACCCTCCAATTCTACCACGCTGAATTAAAATACCCTCCAAGTTTTCTAGTAATTGCTTAGATGAAATCCCCCCTTCAATGTACTATACAGGTGGAGTTGAAAAAAACAATGTGGGAGTTTTAGGGGTAAATTAGCAAATATATAGATTTGGGTAAGAGGGGTATATATGTAAAAAAACCTACAATAAAATAAACAGATCAACCAGAAAGGAACAATCTTTCTTGATCCAAAACAAAATCAAACAAGAGCATAAATAAAAAATTAACAAAAAACATTAAACTAGGGTTAAATTCAAGAGATCGTTACCGCCGATGGCGAAATCGTCGCAACCGGTGAAGCCCTTGGACGCCATTGCCGCCAACGACGACGAAGAAACAGATCGATGAATCGAATCGAAACAATTACAGATCGAATTGGGAACAAAGAGCTTAAGATTTAAAGTGTTTATTAGAGGAATTAGAACGTATAGGAATCAAGCTGAGGGTGTGGTAAAGGATGAAGATCATGAGCCCGTTCATGAAGTGGCTTGGATCCGACAAGCAGCGGAGCTTATCAAACCAGCTCATACGTGAAACCCTAAAATTAAACTCAAAACGGCAACGGAATTGATCGAAATCGATCGATCGAGATTTAAGCGAAGAGAGGAAAAAAAATGCTCCTTTTTTCTCTCTCTCTCTCTCTCCGCCTTCTTTTTTCTCTGAGCGATTTCAGGAGAAGAGAGAGTCTTGGGGGTATTTATGGGAAACTAAGTAGGAAGGACTAAGACGGGTGTTTGCTTAAATGACTAAATTGCCCCTGAGGAGTTCCCTTTCGGGTTAGAATTTTAGCTGTAGTCGGGCTGGTTATGGTTGTGACATTAATTATTGGGTAAATTTTAGAAAACCCCCTAACTTTATGAGATCAATATGAAGACTCTCTAAATCTTAAAAGGGTTAATTTCTTAAAACGGCTGAACTTTATTTATCTCACATGATCCCCTAAATTGACCCTCAATAATTTTCTTATAATGTAAACAACTAAAATGCTCTTAAGAGAAAAAGTCTCTAATTGTTGTCATTTGCAAATAATGCACACTACTTTAAATTTTAGGTTTTTCTCTCAAACTTTTTTACTTATTTACAAAATATATAGGGTGTTCGGTGAGAAAAGTTTAAACTTTCTGCGGATTTTGTGAGACACCCTAGAGTTTAGGGAGGTAACATGAAACCCCCCCCCTAAAATTCAAGGATCTTTTTTTTTTAAGTTTACCCTTTAAAAATTAGATAAACTCCTTAATTTTGGTGATTTTTTAAAAGCTCTCTTAAGTTTAAAAAAGTTTGCCAAATTAAAGTACCCTTTTAAAATAGCCACCCTGCTCAATAAGAAAAATTCCCCTTCTTGTTTGTTTTGTATTCTCCAATAAATCTTTTTACCACAAATCCTAGAACAGAATTTGGCCCAAAACTCAATGGTACTTTTTTAAGATTCAAGGGGGATTTTGTAAAACTTCCTAAAATTTAGGGGTTTCTCTAGTTTTGTAACTCTAGGGGGCTTGTACCAAATCATTCCAAAGTTTAAGACGATTTTGTAAAGTTCACGCGTCGTTGTTTTATATGACTGAATCCTAATAAAGATATTTCCCTCGACCTGAGGAATATTCTTGTACACAACAACCTTCTTTAAATATTCACTAGCATTATCGTTCACGCTGCGTTTGCATGCACAGGAGGTGCAATTTTTTTAAAGAAAGACCCAAAATATGGGACCAATATAGAAGACAAGTGAGGTGTCTTCCTCCTATTGGATAATGAGTTGGCCATCATTAATGATGGCCAACTCATTATCCAATAAGAGGGAGACACCTCACTTGTCCCCTCTATTGGTCCCATATTTTGGGTCATATATCAAAATGTATCAAAGATTCGATTATAATTATAATGGATGATATCTTAAACCTAATGAAAGTATATATTTCTTTTATCCGGGAAAGATAAGATTTTTAGCATCTATTAGTAATGTTTGTATATGTTTTTTCTTTTCTTTTTCCTGTTGCAAAATAAAATGCACGTTCCTGATGCACAAAACTTATAATTTCTTAAAAATATTTATATATTTATATTTTTTGGATTTTTTTAATATATACAGATATACACATACATATACGATACATACATATATACATATATATCATACTCCCTTTAAAACACGAGTTCGAAAAATCTTTCGGTAGACAAAAATACCTCTATAAAGTTTAAACTATCTTAATACTAATCAAATTCTAATATTTAAATTGTATTACTGACTTATTCTAATCATAATCAAATAACTTTAAAGTTTGAACTATCCTAATCCTAATCAAATTCTAACTTTTATATTGTATAATTATCCTAATCCTAATCAAATTCTAATTTTTAAATTGTATAACTATCCACCTACAACTAAATCCAGCAACAATATACCTCTACATCTCATCTCAAAATCTCATCTTTCAAAGTTAGTACTCAAAGCTATAATCATTGTATTTAATGATTTATTCTAATCCTAAACAAGTAACTTTAAGTTTGAACTATCCTAATCCTAATCAAATTCTAATTTTTAAATTGTATAACTATCCTAATCCTAATCAAATTCTAATTTTTAGATTGTATAACTATCCATGTACAACTAAATCCAACAACAAGATCCCTCTACATCTGATCTTAATCTCATCTTTCAAAGTTAGTACTCGGAGCCATAATTACAAAGACAAAGGAAAATAATAGGACATGGTTGCCTATGAGAAAAATGGCTTATATGGCTTTCATGGTAATAATTACATATAAACGTTAAAATATATAAGCCTATTCCTAAACTTAAAAATATTTATTATTTGATAGTTTTATTACCACGTGAGATTATGTATTCTATACTAATCCTAATCAAATTCTAATTTTTAATTTTGTAATCTTTATACAAAGAGAACTCTAATTATGACTATTATCCTATCACATGCAACACTTCATACCTATATATAAACCAAGAAATTACACAATTTTTATAGTAACTTTGTGTCCTTCAATATGTATGCTCCTTTTTTATCTTCATGGTTATTATTTAGTAATATTGTGTATTTAATTCAATGGTGGTATTTGTCAATTTGTTTGCAGCGGTTTCTCCTCTTATTTCAGAACCTCTTTTGTTAGTGTGTTATTCAACAGATATGTCTTACTGTTGCCTTCATTGCTTTTCTTTAGTAATATTGTGTATTTAAATTAATTGATATTTGTTATTTATTACTAGTTTGTATTTGCTTAATTTCGTTTACCCTTTTTATTTTACCATGACAAAGCTAGCATGATTAAGAATTTGTCACATAAAAATAGATTGGAATTAATAGAAAAAATTATGCACGTGTTAAAATCGAACCTGAAGAAATGCTCATCTTCGTCGTAGAAGCTTCTATCGACGGTGGCCGGAGAATTTTAGTCGTCGTGAGATGCTAAACTAGCTGCCATAGAAGGGATTTTTGCGCCTTTGAGAGAGATTTGGACGGCCTATTGGGGTCAACTTGCGAGCTAAAAGTAAATTTAAGAATACCTCCCTTAATTTTGGGTATTTTACAGAGAACCCACTTGAAGTTAAAAATTAGAGCAAACCACAGAACCGTGGAGGGGTTGCATAAATCATCCTGACTTTTAGAAATCAGAGAAATCTCCCCTAAAAATTGAAGAGTTTTCACGAGACCCTCTGAAATTCTGAAGTTTCACCCAAACTTTCAAGTAGGTTATTCTATGATTTGTTAGGAAGAGAGGGTTGGAGGAAACAAGGAAAAAAGGAAACAAGTTCTTTTTTAAGTTTTACTCAAAGAGTAGATTATTTTTTCTAAATTTAGTTAAGGTCTCCAAAAACACAAGTACTTATAGATAACTTTATACTTTTATTGAATCATAATAATATATTTATCCCTAAACGTGTTTAAAATAACAAAATAGAGATTAGGACAAAAAGAAAATTTTAAAACTTTTAAATAGAAGAAAAAGAAAACACTAAAAAGGAACCGCACAAATTTTATTTTTTTTGGAAAATTCTTAAATTAAGAAAGGAATCAATAAATGTGTTTACTAAAAAATATTTAAAACATTTATCCCAAGACGTGTTTAAAATACAAATTAGAGAAAAAAAGGAAAATTTGATGCCTCTCCCTTTCCTGTGCCGCCTCTTCGTCGCCTCTCTGACACGTCATGTCCCCATGCTCCAAGGTCCCTTCTCTTCCATTTTCTCTCCCTCAACCAAAGTTTTAGTGGATCCCAAAGAAACATATGTCACCTAAAAACTATAATTATACTCGGAATTACTGATTATAGTGTGTCTATGTTGGTTTGACATCATAATCCTATTACAAGCAATCAAGGGATAACCCTTTTTTGTGATATGTATAGCCTAATTGCAATTTCACAACGATTCGACCGGTCATATCTAGGACAATTTGGTTTCATCGCCTAGCTATGAAAACCCGAGTTCTCTTAACAAATGTTTGCTTCCTGAAAATATTATACTACATGCTATATAAATATCCCTAAACGTGTTTAAAATAACATAATAGAGATTATGAAAAAAGGAAAATTTGAAACTTTTAAATAGAATAAAAAGAAACAGTAAAAAGGAACCACGCAAAAAAAATTTGGAAAATTATAAAAGTAAAAAAGGAATCAATAAACATGTTTAATAAAAAATTTAAAATATTTATCCCAAGACGTGTTTAAAATAACAAATTATAGATTAAAAAAAAGAAAAATTCAAACTTTTTATTATCAGAAGAAAAATAAAACAGTAAAAAGGGACCACACAAATTTTTTTTTTTTTGGGAAATTTCTAAAATTAAAAAAGGAATCCATAAAGAAGTTTAAAAGATTGATGTAAAAAAATCAATTCAAAGAGTAAAGTTGGTTTGTTTCTAAAAGTCCTAAAATCTACGGTGACATACTACTTACTGGTCTGACATTGCCCTTTCATGTCATAGTTTCTGAGGACTTTACGATGTAGGCTTGTTTCTTTTCAAGTTTGCATAGACAAGCAGGTACTCAAAACATATACATAATTCTTTATGTGTGACCTGAACCCTTGGTTTAAGGAGACGCTCTATCAACATTTGTTGCTATGTCATAGCATGTCCCACATCTGACTGGTACTATATATATAAAAAGGATATATGACATAGCAATGTGTTTTTTTCATTATACCACTGATATTGTTTGATTTGTGAAAATAAAATGAATTACGAAGTTCCACAAAGAAGAATGTACATGAGAACTAATATGTCCGTCTTTAAGTAGGCATGGAAAAAAATTCAATGCTACTAAATATAATGGAAAATCAACTAAAACATGTGAGATTTATATTTTTTACATTTAAATTTAATAAATACGGCCTTTTCTATTGTTTACATATATCATGTGTACCATACTTCCTTTTTTATGTTTGCTTTTGAGATTGTGTATTATAAAACATGAGCTTATAATGTCCCAAATTACTGCGGAATTCTGTTTTCAATGCAATAATAAATGTAATTTCTTTACTGCTAGAACTATAGGTCATAATGACGATTATGATATCCTAGTTAAGTATATTGATTTCAGTTTAGGGTTAAAATCTATTACATTAATTTTTAATAATGTTTAAATAATAATTATAGCAAATCAAATAATTCAATTTTACATATTTTAACTCAAAATTAATCTGACTTATTTATAGTAATGAAATAA